AAAACAGGGCAGGGGATTTAGCTCAGTGATTTCGCTGCCTGCTGCGCAAGCGCAAGGACCCGAGTTTGATCCCCGGTACCCCCCCCAAAAGATAAATCAACTGTGATAAAAACTATCTATCTATCTATCTATCTATCTATCTATCTATCTATCTATCTATCTACAATGGACTACTACTCAGCCATAAATAAAGATAAACTTGAGACATTTATGTCTGGATGCTCCTTGAGGCCATATGGATGCACCTTGAGGCCATATGTGGAATAAATATGACACACATGTGTAAATATTGAATCATTTCTCTGGTGTGAGAAACTGAAGGTGTAAATGAGGACCAAAATGTATAATATATATTGTGAAATAGGAAGAAAGTGTTTAATGGGAAAGGGGAACTGGGGGCTGGGCAGGGGAAAGGAAAGAAAGGAAAGAAAAAAAATTGAAAGTAAGAAAGAAAAAATGGAAACAAAGCTAATGTATATTAGGGGAGTGGAGGGGTTGACAGGAGGACAGGGGTATGGGAAAAGTAAGAATCAAGATATATCATGTACAGGAACAAATTTTCAATGATGAATATGATTATAAGGTATACATAAATGTACCAATAAATTCAATAAAACTTTTTTTTTAATCAGAAAAAAATTCTGACTGGTTATTAGGAAGTATGGATTGGTAAACCAATTATTAGATCAATGTTGGAATATATTGATACTGGATTGAATGTCATGGGAGGTTATTTTATGTTAGATTGAGTTATGTGTATTTCCAGAGTGCTGGCAGATAATATGATGAAGTTAGCAGTAAACAGTACTAATATTCGATGAGCTAGACTGGCTTCTATATTATATAAAGTTCCCTGTGTTGGAAAAGCATTTCTAAGGATAAGGAGTGCCTGCCAGAGTAAGGGAGGTCTATGGAAAATGCCAATGTCTTGGAATATTTTCTACTAGCAGAATATAATTAATTCTGGCATAGATCTATTTTTTTTCATTTCCTCAACTACATTTATCTTCTGTGTTCTTTTCTTCATCATATAATTTATATTTGTGCTTACCTTATGTCAAATGTACTTAATATTCTCATACAGTAGCAAATTTATGCCATATGAAAAATGTAGATATAAGCAAGGATGTAAATATACACATACACACAGCTTCATTACTGTCATGGCATGCAGATTATTCTGAACACCGGGGTTATGCTGTTAGGCCAAAGCAGCAATACTTTGACACTAGTAAAGCAGAAAGGTAGAAACTGGGCATGCAGAGGCTGAGTGTAAAGAAGTATGCAGAACTTTCTCTTGGGTTTGTGGGATATCACTCATAACAATTTGATAAAGAAATGTATTGAAGAGTTCATAGACCTATGTGATACATAATGATTTACCAATGAAGATTTAGGGCAAAATATTAATTGTATATTTGGTTACTATCCAATTATTGCACATATAGATTCTTTTTCATTTTTCTTTTCTTTTTTTTTGGTACTGGGGATCAAACTCAGAACCTTGCGCTCACGAGGCAGGCGTCAGAACCACTGAGCTAAATCCCCAGCCCACATAAAGATTCTTGATAATGATCAGGAAACTTCTTTTTTCTGTTCAGTTCCGTTAATTAATCAAGTTTTTTTTTAATTGTAAAAACATCATATCTGGCCATATCCTTTCTTCTGGCACAAACCTAAATTACTAACATGGCTAATTTAATAATGCCAGTTTCTCTTCAGAAGAATCTAGATCTTCTTGCCTCTTGCATTTCAAAATTTCATTTAGTTAATGTTAACTGATCCATTACTTAGGACACTGACACAAGACAGTGTGATGCCTATGAATAATGAATTCCAACAACTCTCACAGAAGTCCTTTTTATGTTGCTTTGGTGATGACGACAAATACCAGATTTAAGCAAATCCTTCCTAAAAATGTGAATGATCATTTTCTTTTCTATTCATGTGAAACTTTTTGTTTGGAACTTTATAGTATTACTTTAGAAGGACAAATCTGTAAACCACTTGAATTAGTTAGATTGTAATAACTGCATTTCTAGGTGATCCTTTTAAATGCTGACCACATCACTTCCTTTCACACAGTGCCACCAGGTGGGGTTGTGGGCAATGTGCTCTTCATAGTTCAGAGTATGAGACGAGTGAGAACATTCCCATTTATACAAGGAATGTCCCTACTTCATCTGGAATTATTTAACATTGGCATAGGAGAAGAAGGCATCAGTGGGATGTAAAGCAAGACATAGATTGAAAGTACCTGCTTGCTCTGTAGAACTGTGGTCTCCAAGGCATTTAGAGGCAAGTGCAGCCACTTCTGTGTGAATGCCAGACAGGTGATATGAAGCCTGCTGAGAGGCTGAAATGATTGCTCTAGTTACCAGTGCAATGGTTAGAGTGGGGGAATAAAGTAAAAAATATCTGTTGCTCCCACTGGCATTCTGGACATTGAAGGTAGAAGGCAGAATGGACATTTGAACACAGATGGGTAAGATCCAATGTACAGACCTAACACATGGCTCAAGCCCAAGGTTTAGCAGTGGACCTTTGGTGGACCAGAGGTCTGAATACATCCCATTTCTGATATGAGTGAAAATTTCTCCCAGTCAGCATGTCAGCACTCTTCTTGTGGCCTCATCTTGTGTGATTTCATGAAAGAAAACTTTGCTCTCCCGAGAGATTTTCATCTGCTCATCAAGCCACTCTGCTGAAATCTGGTTCCAGCCATGGGATCCTATGACAACCCAGTAGGCATGGATAATAGAGCTTCTTAGGGAAAATGGCCAACTCCACAAGCTGGTGGGTGTAGGAAGAAGAGAGTCACATTGTCTGCAGAGGAGAATTAGAGCTATACTTGTTTGGTCCAGGCTCATACCACCCTGTCCAGAAAGCCTTGCTGTCTCCAGCACCAGAAGTGGATGTGGACACATTTGAGGAAGCTACTCCAAAGCACAGAGGTCAACTGGCAAGGGAGCCCAGGACATAGACTCTGCTCAGCCAGGTCTAAGATGGTATTGTAGTCTAATTATAAGCCACTTCATAGCCAACATTACTGTGCAGTCTAATCCATATTGTGCACACTATTATGTTTCTATTTAATTGAAATCACTCCTATAAGTATTTTTAAAGAAAGTTGTCTTATGTATGCCATAGACTCCTTAACACAGTTGAAAAAGAAACAAAAAGCTTTGTCTTTATTTAGCATGTTTATGTGTGGTACAGACATTGGTGACCAAGGTACTTACCACTACTATGGGCTATAAAGACTGGATCAAGTTCATTCACTGCTATTTTACTCTTCTTTTCTCCTGCATACACTCTCTGTTGTTTCCCTTTTCTCATTGCCAACACAAACCCCAGGCTGTCCTCCCTGTCTTCCACTTTCTTAGACATTTCCATTGAACCTCACATACATACATTTTCTACTTGAATCTCCTACAAGAGTTTAAAATTTTTCATCAAAAGAATTTATCTGAGTGATCCTCCTTCCCTTGTTATGTGAAAATAATACGATGTGGGTACATTTTATTTTTTTGTACACAAGTGACTGTTTATTTGAACTTCAGTCTTTTAATTTGTTAATAAAGGTTTCCATATGTTTCCATTTTTAAAATTTGATGTTCCCGGCCTGAGGATTTAGCTTAGTGTTTCTACCACCTGCTTCACAAGTGCAAGGTCCTGAGTTCAATCCCTGGTACCAAAAAAAAAAAAATTTTTTTTGATGTTTGCTAAAATTTTAGGTTTAAGAAGCAGAGGCTGTAAAAAACAAATTATAATCTATACATATATATATATATGTATATGAAATTTCACAAGGTGCTAAAATATTCAGGAATTGTGCTTGGTCCATGTCAAGTTTCAGACCGAGAGCTGCCCAGATACACAAAAACTAAATAAAGTTGCTGTTCTATAACTGCCACTATTTCCTAGTAACTGATCTGGTGTACTTTTGAGTATTTTGCCTATTGTTACACACTAGACAGTGGTTCCCAAGTGTAGGACACAAGGGACACTTCTGATTTCTAAGCAAGAGTTCACTGGTCAATCATAACTCAATTCAGTTACCTTTTAACCTATTTTAAAGCAATCACATTTCCCAGCCATATCTGGAGTTTGTAAATGAAATTAAATATTGGAAATCTGTATGATTAATAAATTATCCTGAAATTATTTTGAGATTGATAATCTAGTCTTGTCTTGTGCTTGGACCATAGAATGAATCTAATTTCCTTTTCTAAATTTGAATTCCTGTGTATCTGAAGGTAAATGATGTATCAAACAAGGGAAATTATAAGATAGAATACAATTGGAAGTAGACACAGGCACATACGATTATTCACATCTAAAATGACTTAAAATGACTTTGCATCAAGTTAGAAAACAGTATCATCTCTCCTTAATATCTAACCTATTGTCTCTCAAAGTCTCCCATCAACAAGACCTGGTTTACTGGAGAAAGAATTAAGAAGAAAAGGGGTAGAGGAAGAAAGGCATCAGAAGGAAGAAAGAAAGTGAGAATGACAAAAGATTAAGACTGAGAATGTTGAAATACAATACAATAAGAATAAAGATTCTAAAGATAAAGAAAAAATTTGTGGTTAACATAAAGAATAGAAAGCTGTGGAGCAGTAGGTATCCAATTCAGCCATCATTAACCCATAGATTAAGCATTGTTTTTATCTATAAAATATTGTCTTACTTAGACAGCAGATACATAAAGAAATGAAGAGAATTCTCATCCTTTGCTGCAAGTAATTCTACTCCAAGTCCATTGCCACCTCCAGCATTGTGTGTGTTAGTCTCTAACTTTTGTCCATGTACATTGAAGGAGGTGGAAGAATGGACAGCAAAGATAATTCTGCATTATCTGTCAATACTAAATCAACTCTAGTCAAAATGAAATCTTGCCACCATAACCTATTATTATAAAAGATCTAAAAGGGAGCTAAGATTCTTATAACTTGTGTTGTAAGTGGATATGTTTACTCAAACTTTATACACAATTATTCATTTTGTGTAAATATCTTTACAACCCGATCTCGGATCTGTTTGGTCCTGACTCCATATATAATGGGATTAAGGGCAGGTGGGACAACTATGTATAGATTAGCCAAAAGAATATGAATATAATGTGGAATATTTTTGCCAAAGCGGTGTGTCATAAAAGAAAAAAAAGCTGGTATGTAAAAGCACAGCATGACACAGACATGGGAACCGCAAGTATTGAGAGCTTTTAGCCGGGCATCTTGAGAAGGAAGGCGGAAAACAGCTCGAAGGATAAGCACATAGGAGGAAGTGATCAGGATCAAATCCACTATGATATTAGAAATCACCATGAGCCCATAGATTATGTTCACCTTGATGGATGCACAGGCCAATCGGGCAAGACCCATGTGCTCACAGTAGGTGTGAGGCATGAGGTGATGCCCACAGAAGGGTAGTCGCAGAATGAGAAACACAAATGGAGTAACAAGAATTAAATTTCTTCCGACAACAACAGAGACCAGGATGCCAATGGTTTTATTTGTGAGGATCACTGTATACTGGAGAGGGTTGCAGATGGCAACAAAGCGGTCGTAAGCCATGGCCACCAGTAAAACTGTCTCCATGCCTGTAAACATATGGATAAAGAACATCTGAGCAAGACAGCCCCCAAAGCTGATCTCTTGGAGGTTGAACCAGAAGATGCCCAACATTTTGGGGATTGTGGTTGTGGATAGGCCCAGATCAGTCATAGACAACATGCCCAAGAAGTAGAACATGGACTGGTGGAAGCTGTGTTCAGTCTTAATCACAAAGAGAATGGTGATATTCCCCACAAGGGATATCAGATACACAATACAGAATGGTATAGCAATCCAGACATGTGCAATCTCCAGTCCTGGTATTCCTAACAGCATGAAGAAGAGCGGGTGGAACTGGGTATTGTTGATAGAAGGCATTCGCCTAGCAAATGTCAATGAATTTCTGTTAAGTAAGAAGGACCACACTTTCATTAAGATATTCTCTTATCAAGGCCCTGGAGGAATGGAAAGACATCAATCATTGTGCAGGATACAATGGTACAAGTACTTTATAAGCATTAGAGATCTTCTTAATTTCAAGGGTAATTGTGCAAATCAACACAGGTTCTTCTTCTGAATCCATAATAGGCAATAGTGTTCATGCTTTCATTTTTTTCTAATTCATGAGATTTTCAAAAGAACTAGAAATATTTCATGATGTAGCATATACTCACATTTATGGCATTCTCTAACATCCTTTAATTGGGGAAAATTATCATGCCAAATGTTTCTCAAAGTAAGAACTGATGCTTCACACCATCATCAGTATTCCAATTTGGTATAAATCTAGGGATTTACATCTTGGATCTAGAATAGTTACATGAGGAGGATCAGTCAGATATTCTACCTTAGAATGTCCCCCACAGTAGCTCTGCTGCCCTGACCAATCTGTTTATTCTGTGAGAACACAGCTATTTTAAAAATATTTTCTCATCTTATGAAACTTACATAGTTTCCAAAGCCTCCAACCTCCGACTTATTCTACAATACTCATATCATTCTAGAAAAAAGAAGCTTTGAGCTGGGGATCTAGCTCAGCAGTGCTGCCACCTGCCTCAAAACCAGAAGGTCCCGAGTTCAATCCCGAGTACCAAAAAAAAAAGTTAGAAAAAAGAAGTTTCTTATGAAATTATATTTATCTTCCTTACAACATATGACATTAACAAATAACATATACAATTAAACTTATGTTCTAAAAGGGTGGTTAACTTCAGGTATGAACAGATCAAATATCTAACAAAATTCAGAGACACTAAAATTAAAGTGGTTAGAGAATATACCTAATCCTTTGAAAATAACAAAGAAAATTATCCTCTCTTAATTTTCTGTGTCCTCAGCACACTGTAAAACTCTTAGCAACTGATATTATCTGAGTTCATTATACACATACAGAAAGCCTGCTAAGCAGGACAAAGATCAAAGGAATATTAATTTAAATATCCTTAACACTGACATATGAGGATTTGGTTGTGTGTGTGTGTGTGTGTGTGTGTGTGTGTGTGTACACGCTGAGGCAGGAAGACACAGGAGTAAGGAAAGCTGTTATATCATGTGCGTTGTTCCATATGTCAGTTTTCCATAACTTTGCCTGGCGGATATCACACAGTAGATATTCAGACAAGGGAGATAATGATTCCCTGTTCTATAGGAGAAGAGAAACAGTACCTTTTAACCTTAGAGAAGCTGGGGAGAAACTTGTTTCTGAATGAGAAAAGGCACTAAGTATGCCAGTATTAAGGGGCAAATGCCAGACCGAGAAATCTGTGTTCATAGAACTTGACTTAGAACAGTCTGAAGAAATAGCTAGTATTATTCATCATGGGATTTAAATTCAGAGTCAAGTTCATCTTCAGGTTGGTGGGTTTCAACATGACATTTTACTAGTAGAGGCAAACGTTTCCAGGGAAATGATAGTATAGTATAGTATAGTACAGTATAGTATAGTATAGTATAGTATAGTACAGTACAGTATAGTTTAGAGCCAGGAGGACACCAACACTCACAAGTTTGGCCAGAATAGTTGTCTTCCTTCTGGTATGCCTTGTGTGTCAAAAACAGTGGCAAGAGGTGTGTGGCCAATAACTGCATATCATTTCTGGGGGCAAAATAATAAGTTTATTCTGTTCTAGATGTCCAAGTTGTTGAAGATCTCAGCCCCACAGTCCACTGTGAAAGTGAAATTGAGAATAGAGGCCTTCTCTTTTTAGTGCTCACCAATGGTTTAATCATTGTATTTGTGATTTCTTTTTATTGTGCTGTATCTTTGTACCGCTGACTCTAGCAGAAATATTAAGAAGATTTTCTTGGATTTTGAAACCATTCAGACTTGCTTTTCATATCAGTTTCTTTTTCCACAAAATTGGGAAAAATAAATCTAAGTAATGTGGGTTTTTTTTTTTGACAAACAAGACTAATGTATATAAAGGAACTGGCTTGTAGAGTACTTTTGATTCTAAATATTTTATTTCATATTTTTAGCCCAAGATGCTAAGAAAAAAAAATCACCAAGTATCTGAAATAGTTGATTTCTCTTTTAGAAGATCATCATTATGATTAAGCCATCACTGGCTATAAGATGAGACAGAGGAGGCATGGAGGAAGGTTGGCCCAGAAGAGGAATGGCACTAGGCCAACCATTTATACTTTCTTTGGGCTTCTATCAATACCAACATAATACTGCATTGTGCAGTTTGAAGGGAACCATGTTCTCTCCTCATTCTCACAGCTTTCCCAGGGTCTATGACACCAAGGAAGTTGATGAGAGTGTGAAATAAGCTCTATTCAGTCACTTCACTTCCAGAGAAGCTGGCTGGGTCTGGCCACCCTTGCAGGGGTACTGGTCTTACAATAGCAAAACCTTGGAAATAGTTCCATAAAGTAGCAGGAACAAGGGAATTAAGATAGATTGGGCAACTCATAAGTTAGTAGGATTAGTAGAGAGGGAAAGGAAGAAAATAGTATACCCCTAATGAATAATATCAATGTCATGATGTTTGGATATTGAGATCAGTCACACCGCTATGCCCAATTCAAAAATGTGACAGTGGCCGACAAGAGTTTCTTTCTTAGATGAACCATGACAAGTCTAGTTGTTGGCCTTGTTACCTGCCAAAAAGTCAGTTTGCTACCTTGAACAATTTTCATTCTTATTGACCGCTGGTGGGGTCATGACAGTATCACTGTGTTTTTAGAGTCCTGCCTGCAGCATTGTACCTGTGTGAGTGTGTCTGTGTGTGAGGGTGTATAACACACACAGACATACACACACACAGAGAAAGAGAGAGAGGATATTACTCATTTGTATATCACAGTACTCACCTGTGGCTGTCTGTGAAATCCTGTGTGATGCTGTGTTTTTGTGAAGGGAATGGTGCTTGAAACTCTTCAGCAAAGAGGGGACTCCAATCCTCTTCCTCTTCTCACTTGCCCTCTTCTCCCATCCCTATATCATCTCACCTATCCTGCTCAAGGATTCTTAACCTTTTAACCTCTGCTAGCTCTGGTTTGGAGCAGAATCACAACATGAGCTAGTTTCTTAAAGATGGTGCCTGGGAGCCCCTTGTAGCCTCTGGGCCCCAAGCCTGCCTAGTCCTATGGAGAACAGCTTTATAGTGAGTCTAGGCAAGTCCCAGAACCCCTAAGCTTAGCCTTTAGAATCCTCTGAGTATAAACCAAGGCCCAAGGGTCGTTAAATCTCTCAACTCTTTGTTCTTCTACACTGTGTCTATACAGAAACACTGTACCAGGTGTTACCTCTTTGCTCAGGAATGGAGATGTGGTGTAAGATGTGAGGGAGGACAATATCCTGAAGGGAGAAAGTCTGAGGGATCATATTAAATCAGCTTTTCTCAGGAATAAATTAGTTTATGCCATTATGTCTTCAAAATGTAGGTTTTTTAAGGAAATTTACCTTACCAACTCTTTTATGTTGTTTAACTGAAATGTATGAATCTTGATTCAGCTTGGCTGTAGTTTCAGCTGGGGACTCAAAACATGAATAGAAGACCCCTGGAAAAGATGCCTTAGACCCTGTGGCAGCAACTTGGTTTATTGGCAAAGTACATGTGTATAGAAAATGGCATTAGCTTTCTTCCACCCATAAGAATCCCCTTCCCAGTCCATCATGGTGAACAGATAAAGTCTCAGGAGGGACATGTATTTAGCTCTCTTGTTTTATATTGGAAAAAATTCCACATTTTCCTTGTTAACTTATTCTATTGCCCTTTCCAGCCAGAGCACAAGTGATGTTTCCTGAGAGTCTTCCTTCCTCAGTGAGGATGAAGTAGGCCTGGTAACATTTCCCAAACATGTTGTAGGCACTGCTTTTCCTTATTATAGGGTAGAAAGAGACTGAAGGACAGTTGAATACATTAGGTAATCAGTTAATATTTTTTGTCCTCTAATTTGAGTTTTTATCACAAAAAAAGAAATGCTGCCTGTAGTTGAAAAGAGCTTCAGGCTTGATCTGCCATGATCTCATGTTAATCATTTCTCTTTCGATCAATGACAAGATTACTTCCTGGTTTCCTATCTCTCTCCTATGTGGTCTATTTTCCCCATCACATCCACATTTATTTTCCCAAATCAAACCTAAAATTTCTTCCTATGACCCCTATTTTCTCCACTGTATACTACATACTGTATATGATAAAATATAAACAGCATTATTGCCAAAATCTTTCTTCACTCAGCCCCCAATCAGCTCTTTAATTGTACTTCAACAATTTACAGCAAATATCCTCATCTTTGGTGACCAAAAGTCCTATATGTAAAATAACTTCCACTCATTTCCACGTTCCTTTGAACCTTCCTCCATGATTGTATTCCATGTGAACCAACCAGATGTGATCTCTGCGTCTTTCTATTTTCATATCATTATCATAACATGCATACTTTCTTTTGCTTAGGTTTAGTGTTTCTTGTCTTTTCCATCCTTTCAGTGGACTGATAACACAGTGAAGTTTAACGCAGCTCTATTCTTCAACTCCACTGAGCACAGTTTCTTGAACATAGGAGGTACTCTGGTATTATTAAGTTACGGTATTTTTTGTGAGGGTTACAGTGCCATATGATTTTCCATCTCCTAATCTGATCCTACTCCAAAAATTATTCCACTGTGCCTTCTGGAATCAATTTTTTATGAGCTGTAATATTTTTGCCTTAAACCATTTTTAATGTTCTGTTCATTTTCCTTTTGAGACAGAAATCCAGATAGATGTTCCCTGGGGGCACTGTTTCTCTTGAAAACTTTGAGGGATTGAATATATTTTTCTGCTATAATTCCTAATACCACAATTCCTAGAAGACTTCTTACTTCTTCTCACTGATATTTCTACAGTAATTTCTACTCTTCACCCTTCAAAACTGAATCTACATCT